GCATTCAATTATGATTTATTTTTTTTATGTTCTGAGCCTATACAGTTAGTATCAGAGTCGCGTTCCTCGTAACCATTCCTTACACAAAAGACTTAAGGAAACACCATAAAAAATAAATTATCACTCAAATCATTCATTGTGAAATACAGGTACAGATAGATGAAGAGAGGAAGACTCCCACTAAACTTAGCAGCCCAGGAGGTTTGCATCGAGAGGATGTTGACCGACTTTTTGAAATATTTGAGAGACTCATCGTTATCCAGCAGACCCGGAAAGAAATGAGGGAGCTACCTGACCCTCCCCCGCTGCCACAGTTTGAGCCACCCTAGTACAACCCTGCTCCTCAATAGTACCATCCAGAACCACCATAGTATGGTCTGGTGCCCCAACCGCATCACTCGGTACTACCATAGTACAATCTGGTGCCTCCACCGTATTATCCAATACCACCATAGGGCCACTCAGTCCCTCTTCAGCACAATTCAGTCCTTCTTCCATAGGACCCAGTTTTAGCTATAATGGACCCATACTACATTGAAAGATATAAAAGACTAAACTCATATACTTTTATATAAGCATCCTCATTTGAAGAGACTGAGTACTAATTAGCTGAGACAGAGAAGACTTTTACGACTCTTGGGGTGGTTCCCAAACAGAGAGTTATACTTATCACCTACATATTGGTGGGAGAGGCAAGTCGTTTGTGGCAGCTTAAGCTAGCCACTTTGCCCATTCTAGTCACTTGAAAATAGTTATTGATAGCCTTCAATGCAGAGTACCTCTCAGACTATCTCCAACATCTGAAGAAAATGGAGTTTGCATACCTAATCCACGGTGATATCACTGTGTCAGAGTATGTCAGAAAGTTTCTAGAGTTGAGTCGGTATTCCCCTGAAAACATGATGGATGAAGACAGAGAGGTAAGGAAGTTCGAGTGGGGATTCCGTCTTGAGATTAGACAACAGTTGTACATGTTCGAGCTCAGTACTTACTCAGCCGTTTTGGCCAAGACACAGTTAGTGGAGAGGAACCTTCACATTTTTCCTCAAGCAGTGGGGAACTTTAAGCCCCCGGTTTCACGCTACAGACTAGCACCCACTACACCTGTTTAGCAGAATAAGAGACTTAGGTAAGTGACTCAGGCTCTTCCTCAGATTATGGTAATAGGATGTGGTAGGACTTGCCAACACTGTGGCAAGAATCATGGGAACCAACCTTACTATTGCCTCAATAATGCTTGTCGTATATGTGGGAGTGCCCTCTGCGCGAGAGAGTGCTTAACGAATTAGAACTAGGCCAGCCTTCCTATACATGGCAGAACTTACAACCTCACTCAGCAAGATGCAGAAGCTAACCCATACGTGATACAGGATACGTACACTGTCTATAATTATCTTGCACATGTTTTGATTGATATTGATGCCTCACATTTATTTGTCTCACATGCTTTTGTACTAAATTTGAATGTATTAACTAAAAGACCTGATTATGTGTTGTTTGTGTCTATCCTTATAAATAAGACATCATTGATGAGCTTATATACAGACCTTGTATCATAAATATAGCAGATAAAAAATTGAGTGTGGACTAATAGAGGTTAACATGGAGGACTTTGATGTAATTCTAGAAATGAACTAGCTAGTAACGTATCACGTCACCGTAGATAATATTTCACAAGAAATTTGTATTCAACCATCCGAATGAATAGTCATTTACAAATTAATTAAATTTTTAAACATTATTCTTTCATGTTAATTTTTCGATTACAAAGTGTTTTAACTTAACTGTTTTCTCTAACTAAGCAAACCTAAGAAAGAAATTTACATTCGAAAAATTCTGGTAGTCCGAGACTTTTCGGATGTGTTTCTTGATGAATTACCCGGATTGCTAGTGGACAGAGAAGTTGAATTCACCATAGATCTTCAGTCAGGCACCCAACCTATTTCAGTTGCCCATTATCGTATGAGCCGTGTTGAGATGGAAGAGTTGAGAAAACAGATCAATGAACTGCAGGATAGTGGGTTCATCTGACATAGTGTGTCCTCTTGAGGTGCTGGAGTCATATTTTTAAGGAAGGGATATGAGATATTAAAGTTATGTATTGACTACAAGGAACTGAACAGGGTCACGATCAATAACAAGTACCCTATTATCATGATTGATGACTTTTTTGATCAGTTGTAAGGTACCCAAGTCTTCTCCAAAATAGACATGCGTTTATGTTACCATTAGGTAAAGATCAAGGCAGAGGACATTCCAAAAATAGCTTTTCGAACCAGGTACGGACACTATGAGTTCTTGGTCATGCCATTTGAACTAACCAATGCACTAGCCATCTTTATGGATTTGATAAATAGAGTTTTCAAATAATTCCTGCATCAGTTTGTCATTATATTTATTGATGATATCCTAATCTATTCAAAAAGAAGATAGGAATACGCTCACCATCTGACTCAGATTTTGCAGGTTCTTAGAAAAAAGAAATTGTTTGTAAAGTTGGGTAAGTGTGGATTCTACCTCAAGCAAACTACCTTCCTATGAGATATCATATTAACGGATGGAGTGTCAGTGAACCCCGAAAAAATTGAGGCAGGATTTGGCTGGGAGAAATTGACATCGGTCAAGAAGATTAGTAATTTTCTCGGAATGACAGGTTATTACCGTAGGTTTTTTGAAAGATTTTCTACTCTACCTGCTAATTTGACCCGGCTATTAAAGAAGAATGTCAAGTTTGAGTGGAACGAGAACTATGAAATGAGCTTTTCAGAACTACAAAAGTGGTTGACCACTGCACATGTGTTGACATTGCCGAGTGGGACATGTGGATACATAGTTTACAGTGATGCCTCCTACTTGGGGTTGGGTTGTGTTCTAATGCAATATGGGAAGATCATAACCTATGGGTCCAGAAAGTTAAAGAGTCATGAGGAAAATTGCCCCACCTATGACTTATAACTTGTCGCGATTATTCACACCTTGAAGACTTGACGCTAGTAATTGTATGGGGAGACTTTTTAGATCTATACCGACCATCAGAACTTGAAACACATGTTTACCCAAAAGGATTTCAACATATGTCAGAGACGATGGATAAAACTACTAATGGACTATGATTGCAATATTTTGTATTATCTAGGCAAGGACAATGTGGTAGCCGATGCATTTGGCAGAAAAAGTGTAAATATGTTAGTTCACCTAATAGTTTCAGAATGTATGGTAATAGGGGCTGTACAACATATACGACTTCAGAGTTTAGTATCCCAAACTATTTGATTAAGTAAAACTAATAAATTTGAGGGACCAAATTTCTTTTAAGACGAGGAGAGTTATAATACATGGGCTCAGAAAATTGGTATGGGATAAATTTTGTTAATTTAGAGATGTATAAAAATAAAATAAAATACATTTTATAAACTAATTTAATGAAATTTTTATTTTATTTGGGAAAAATAATTAGAGATGAAATTAAAAAAAAATTTGGGAAAAGAGGTGAAAAATTGAGTTCGACGGGTATTTTGAAAGAAAAATAAAAAATTGGGAGTCAAATGCATTAAAAATTTTTACTACGTAAACCGCCAGTCAGTAGCCTTGATAAATCGGAGTGCGCCGCGTGGCAAGTCTACTGACTCAGTGCCACGCGGGAGGCCACGCTGGCGATCTGCATGCCCTGCGATCGGACGACCAATAAGCGTTCGTGCGCGCGTAGACGGTCCGAATACATTCCCTCGTCAAGCGCGATCGGACGATCGTGATCAAACATGATGAACAATTCAGATTCATTTCCTCCTTAGACGAGATTGAACGGTTAAGATCAAACGCGATAAACATCCTATATTCGTTTTCTTCTTATGCATGATCGAATGGTTGAGATTAAATGCGATTAACGGTTCAGATTAATGCGAGATATATATAAATATTTCACATCACACTGAACCCGAACCCTAGCTGCCAGCCCCACACTGGAGAAGAAGAACCAGTCGTTAGAGAAGGGAGCCGACCACCGGCCGCCGCTGCACCGGAGCCACCTTCGACCGCCAAAAAAGTTAAAAATTCTCCCACACACTTAGAATTCGATTCCAAGCATCTCTGTGGCCATATCGGAGCAAAACAAATGGTGGATGAGTCGGAAACCACTAACAAAGCTTGACGGAGCTGCCATGGACAAAACCTGCAACTGCCTCCGATGAGCCCTTTCCATTTTTCGTTTCGTACGATTTTTCCATCGTTTGTGTTCATCATTTTATTTTCTGCAGGTTGACCGAAGAAAAATACTCAACTACGAAAGTGAGCTGGCGAAACTGCTGCACTGAAAAATTCCACCACTGGTAGATTTTTGTTTTTTGACTTTTTTGAGCCAATCGAGGCCCCTTAACGTGTTTTCTAGCATGAATTGATATAAAACATGCTGAAACCAGCCAAAAACAGTTAGGCCGAGGCAAACCACCGCCACGGACGGTAGTGCCGTCGTCGGAGAACGGCGGTGCTACCGTGCCGGAACCCCTAACTTGGCCAAAAAAGGATTTTTAACATCAATTTTAGATTTTCGGGGTATTTATAGGTACGTAAAGCGTGTTTTAATTTCTGTAAAAAAATTCAGAAAATTCAGGGATCGTTAATAGGCGCAGTAGAAAGTTCAATATTTTGGACACTGATTCGGGTAAGAATCTCTCGCCTTATTGTCTGTTATAGAATTGAAATTTAATAATTAATAATGTGGTATTTTATACAATTTAGAAAACTCCAAAAATAATTACAGGTTACTAATGGAGCTGGAACTTGTTAGTCATTTATTTGTCATGTTTAGTTGATTGCTGAGTTTACAGCTTTCAATACATGATAAAATACTGAAATAATTTAATGATTCAGTTGTACTTCCTTGATATATATTTATTGCTTGTCTTGCTTGATTTACGATTGATTTATGAAATTGAAAATTAATATGCAAATAGAAAATTGTTTGGTTATGTGAATTAATGAATGGTTGTCTTACTGGATATTCTGAGAGATGGTGGATGGATCGGGTACATAGGGAACCCTATCGTAAATGTTGTCTCATACCGGATAGGGTATCGATGAATGATATTTTTTGTGCTCATACCGGATGGGATATGAGAACGATCCGATTCACCCTCATACCGAATAGGGTATTGAGAGATGATATTTTTGACGCTCATACCGGATAGGGTACGGGGACGGCCAGTTAATTGACAATGTTGAATATTGATTCACTTGTAGTGGGACATTCTTATGGACCCCCAATAATACCAGTAAGCAAATAAAAATAGAAAATTCTTGTTCTTGTTCACTTAAATATGAAGTTATAATGTTCATTGAGTTATTATCTCTATACGTCGGTTTTAAAAAGCTTGCAACGATAAATATGCAATAAATGGTAATTTACTTAAATTAAGAAGTTCATTGGTTGTTTTTATGATTTTTACTGATCTTTAATTTCTGTATCGGTAAGTAGTATAATATTCTTACTGTACTAGTGTAACTCACTATTTCATTAATTATTTCATATTAAGAGGATCAAGATCTAGATTCAGATTAATAAGGGGGTTGTAAATAATTTACCACTCGGACTTCATTCAAAAGCTAGTAAATGTCATTTTAGGATGCTCAGTTATTTACTTTTCATTTATTTTTGTATTTTTGTTTATTTTTTTTAGAAAAAAATATTCTCGTAACTCTATTGGATATTCTAAACTATTGTGTAAGGAATATAAACCCTAACTCTATTATTTTCATTCCGCATTTAATTATAACTTTATTTTCTTTTAAGTTCCGGACCTATACATAAAATTTTAAACTAAATTTTAGTTATAAATGAATGGACTATAATATAATTAATTTATATATAATTCATGTAGATGCCTTAATATTTAATTTTAATAAATATTATTAATTAATTAATTATTAATATATATGTGTGTGTGAATATTTTAATATTTTTTCTTAAAGAAAAATTTAAAATATATTATAAAATAAAAATATAATTAATTATTAGTTGTGTTACGATTTAGTAATATCTAATTCGTTTATATTAAAATTTTGAATTTAATTAATTTTTATAATATAAAATCATAATTTTATTGATGATTTATCATTTATATGATAATAAATTTTATTTATGACTATTTTTTGAGAATTAAAAAAAATAGTTGATCATATAATCGTACCAAAATAATTTTTTAAATTGTATAAATGAACTTATATTAATGGACTCAATTTATTAATTTTTTTAAGTATTATTTAAATATTATGTTAGGTTATGATATGACTATTGCCGTTATATTTTATTAAATTTAAATTTTGTTGATAAATTTATTAAATATTAAATATGCAAATAATCAAAATATCTCACTATAATTATAATCTCTATATATTTGACTTTATCGTATACTATTATTAATTTGTATTTGTTTTTTTTCTATTTGTTGAAATATAAAAACTATATTGTATGTACAACAATTTTATGATAATATGCATTTGTGGAAAAAATTTATCACTTTGACAATGATAATGATGCTATGATGGTTCTATTAAATTCGCGCCATTTTGGAAAATATAAATGGCGGTTAAAAAGATTTTCAAAAAATTTAAATTCATGAATTACTATTTTATTTAATATTATATTTTGAATTCAGCCAACCATCTGCATCACTCTGCTTCGGAGTCGAAACTCCACCCGCCGGTCAGTCCAGTCCATTCAAAGGCGAAAAATCACCGTCAGCGACCTCTTTTCAGCCTTAGCCGCTGCCGGTGATTCAGCCAACTGCTCCGCGCCTTTTATCCGTTGGTTTACGCGCAATTTGATGTTATCCATCTAATTAATACACATCCGTGCTGTGCGTCTCTGCTTTTCCGCCGTCAGACCAACCAGAAACTGCTAAGTCCAAGAAAAGTGAGAGCAGCGATAAGACAGTATCCCGGGGTAATGAATCTGTTCCGTGTTTGTTTGTTGAATAACATTTGCTAGAACTTGTGTTGAATACTGGAATTTGCTGTGTTTTTGGGTGTAGTTATCTTATTCGGTAAGGCGTTAGGCAATGTTATCAGACAGTTATGTTTCCGTTCGTGATGTTCTCTTGGATATGTGTATATATATATATCTATTATGAGTTTCCTTGGACATATGACATGGTCAAGGTGTTGCTTGTGATTGTTAAATTGTAATTATCTCATATGATATGGTTAAGTTTTCATTTGGTAAGGCGTTATGCAATTTTATCAGACAGAGTTATGTTTTCGTTCGTGATGTTCTCTTGGATATATATATGTAATGAGTTTCATCGGACATGTGATTTGGTAAAGGTGTTGCTTGTGATTGTTAAATTGTAATTATATCATATGATATTATGGTTTAATTTTCATTTGGTAAGGCGTTAGGCAACATTATCAGACAGAGTTATGTTTTCGTTCGTGATGTTCTCTTGGATATATATATGTATATATGTATGTATGTATGTATGTATGAGTTTCCATTGGATATATGGCATGGTTAGGGTGTTGCTTGTGATTGTTAAATTGATATTAGCCCTACTTTTTTTTTCTTTTCATTTTTGCCATTGCACCTGAATGTTTGCTGTGTGTGTCAGTCTTGCATCTTTATCAATGAGGATAAGAAGGATGAACAACGAACCCGGCTACTGAAGGTTTTCATCCTAAATAAGCGAGTCTATCCAGAATGATTGATCACCTAAACGTATATCTGAGTTTGTTTTATTTTGTTAATTTCATCCACGACATAGCTTGAGATTCATAGTAGATCCTGTCTCCTTGTTATAGTTGGGGGAAATATCATAGGTTTTTTAATTCTGCAATAGTTTATGATAAACTAGCTTGAGAGTCTGTTGATTATGCAAAAGTGTAACTGAAAATCAAACGATATGCAAATCTAGGGTATCAGATTCATAGAACGGAAGGGGTATGCCTTATCGAAACGTATTATAGGATTGAGAACCCATTGTCACTCATGCTGATAAAAAGCATGTTATTAGCTTGGAAAATAGTACATGTAACATATGGGATATTATGACTGCGCTAATGATGTAGGAAAATCAACTTTCTCGTCATGTCTATAGCTGGCGTTGGAGGATTAGGTAAGACCATGCTGCAAGCAAGGAAGTGATTTAATACAAAGTAAACACTGGTTAATGAAAAAACAAAAACTAGCAGAACCAGTGTATTGCTCTTTGATTTTGTACATATATAGACGACATTAGATTCTTAAGTAAAACTACTTATAAATGAAAGGAAAATGATCCCTAGCTTATATGTCCTAGTAAGTGAAAGAATTATGATTTCTGTAAGACCTCCCTAGTACAAGAAAAATGTGTAATCACATTAAAATTTCTCTCTCCATCTACAGGATAGCCTATGCTCTCTTCTTCTCTGTTTCTTTTTCTGTGAAAGTAATCAACCTGTACAAAGTCGTTTCTTGCATGCTTGCACACTTATCTTCCATTAGTTATTTATCTTAAAAAAGTGTTTATTATCTAGACTGAACAGGGACTGGCTGCTCTTTGCCGATCCCAATAGCTCTTCCAGATTCCAAAACATTTGTTGTCATGGAATGCGGAAATATCTGAATTCTGAAGTTCTTGGTCATGAAGAGCTTGTGTTGTCCAAAGCAGCACCAAAGCCACCATGACAATTGAGAGGTACAGCATTGCTGCCCATGTCATGTTGAGGTATCTTCTCAGTGGTTTGCAATGATTTGTTAGTATATCAGAAAATGCGTTCTGCACTAATTGACACTTTACAAGATTTTCCATATTTGGAAAAATGTTTAGTAGGTTTTGAACTGAAGTTGTGTAAGCCTCCACTATTTTATAATCGCTGGCTGATATGAACTCTCCATCTTTACATGTTCCTTTGTCGGCACCAGAACATGCAAATATCTTCAATATCTGTATAAACAAATTGGATGAATGAACCAACAACTGCATAGATTCGGAGATTTTGATTAAAAGAAACTTGGATGCAATATTATAACTGCTATGAGCAAAATTTCTGGCATTTCAACATTTCTTTTGGCCGACCTGTGCTATGTCACCGATTTGGATTGTGTTAGCGGGGCAATTATCTGGCTGGTATTGGTACTCTGGTGGTGCTGAGAAAGGATTGCAGACATAAGCAAGATTTGGATATGCTGTAGCATTCAGGAGCGATATGTTTGCATTTACCTAGAGATTTCAAAGCCATTGAGTGTAAGAAATGTGCGACGACATTCAGGAATCACTGCATACTGAAGTAATAAAGAGTAAACAAAAATAGTTTTTTTTCATCTAAAGAGAATTCTAACAAGGTAGGATAAAATACTTAGCTGTTTATCTGAATCAGTAACACAGTTTACCTCATTGACTAGGTTGTAGATCTCTGCACTAACATCTGACAGGACAGGTTTTGCGGAGAGCAATTCATCACAAGGTAAGATTGAGCTCAGGCTGTTATTGTAGGGATTTTGCTGAAAATGTTCCAGAGCAGTACATGTATCCCTTGAAAACCTGGAACAATAGAAGCTAGTAAACAATGTGTAGTTTGACTTTCATACTTTTTCAGATCTCGACCAAGAAAGCTTTTGAGAAAACATGAATGAAGAGGAAGGACTTGGCTTTACTTTTCTAAGAAGAAGTACATCCCGAAGAACAGCCAGCACAAAATTGTCAAGAACCAGCAGGTAATAATAAATCTGTAAACAAAAAAGAAACATGTTCCCTTTAGATTTTTCTCTTCCAAGTGCTGGTAGCCTAACAGGTCCGATGTATAACTAGTGATTTTCCTACTAATGGTTCAGTTACTTACGCATGAAGTGGCTTTTGCAACCTCAAAATCCCACAAACTGAAATAAAAAAAGTTACAGTTTTTAGAAATCTACACGATTAACTGAGGATAAAAATGGAAGCAAATTGCATTTGAAGTTTAAGCATAATTTTCAGGAATTTCAAGATGCTAAACAATAGAATTATGGCATGTTTCATATGAAACTGTGAATTAAAAAGAAAAAAAAGAAAAACTATCTAATAGATGTAACTTAACGGTTTATAACGGAACTGTTTTGAAATCTATCCAAGATTAATTCCGTCATTCAGTATTGTTATTAGCTAAAGAAAATTCCATTGAGATGCTCACACACACTTTTACCTGACAAAATAGTAGCTGCAATCAGGTTCATGGAAACAGTCACTATTGTCATTATGTTTCTGCAAAAGAAACATGTCATTAATCAGAAATGTAGTGTGCAAATAGGAACATAGATTTTTAATGAGATTCTTTTGGTTTAGAGGCAGGAAAAGACAGAATGAGAATGGTTGAATATACATTATCTTAAGACCCTTGTCAATTTTGCCCCTGTTCTTACTAGCCTGTCTTCGTATTTCAGAAGCTTCAGCATTGAGTTTCTCAGATGTTGAGGAGAGGAAACCAGAGGCCTCATCATTTTCGTTACTTGCTCCCAGGTTATCTCTCATGTTTCTCATTGCTCCTGTTGTGTTTTGTATTGTCTCCGATGCCTCATTTGCAGTATTCATTATGATATGCACCACTTTCTTGGCTTGGGAATGGAATCTGGCATTCCCCCCAAGGATTACTCCTGATGCAGTTCTGCATAAAAATGAGATATTTTCAGCATTGAAAATAAGAAAGCAGAAGAAATTTTAGGAGTATGTTTGGAACCAATTAATACAATCATTTGGAAATATTAGTTTTGTGAAATCATTTACATTTAGCATACCCTAAATAATCTTGTGAATGTAGTAACAAAACACATGAATTACCTTCTCTTTTAAACAACCATAATTGGTTTTCAAAAATATATTATTTTCATTTTAGTTTTATTAATTTCGATAGAATTTAAAGTTAGTTCTATTTAAGATTTGTTTGAGATTAAATTTTTATGTGTTTGTGCTTGAACTAACTGTAACTAAAAATATTTCCAAATGAATTCTACAAAAATAATTCATTTATTTGAAACATGTTCTTCATATCATATGATAAGCAAGCATGGTTTCTGATGTTAACAAAATATCTGCATCAATATTATGGATAGATCATGAAGGTTGCAGACTTACATTGCCAGAATTGTGAAGATTATGGCAAGAACAAAGGGCCAGAGATAGCAGTGCTTGTAACAAGGTAATCTTTTCTTGGGTTTTCTTTTACAGCAAAAGATAATTGCTATCAGAAAGCCACCATATACCACTCCACACAAAAGCCACAGCATCCCACCGACATACCCATATACTCCTGTGAACACAGTGGACTGCACAAAGCACATGTCATTTCATACATGCAGTAGTTATACAACTTTTGAAACATAGGATGTGGATAGAGATATATGTTGATGATTCGTACAGAAAAATATATGATTACTTGGTTGATACCAAAGAACTGTCACTTATACTGTTTTTACCATAGGATTTTGGAATGAGATTAGTTGATCCTGAAAAAAATATAAGGTACAAGGCAAAAGTGAAAAAAAAAATCCCACCTAAAAATTTTAAAGTCTCTCAAAGTAATTTAAATATGGGCATTGTCTTGTAATCTTAACCATTATGACTAATATGAAAAATTTCCTAAAAAAGACTTCATGAAAATTAAGTATAGAATTGACTATCAATGGAATAGGAACTTAATGAAATGGGATTTAAAAGCCATCATTGTGTCATTTATTTAACTAAGAGAAGATACTATTGTGTAGTCTTGGAATATGACTGAGGGAGTCTACTATTGAAATTTTATTGGGATACCTCAAATGTTTATGGAAAAAAACCACAGGTAGTTTCCTTGTAGTAAAAATTGAATACAATATTATAAAAACTTCATAATATTTTATAATAATTTAATACTTTTATGTAATAATTATTTTAATATTACATAGTAATTTAGTTACTATATAATAGTAACATTATATAATATTAGTGAATTACTATAAAATATTAATAGATGTGTCCAGTACATCATATAAAAAACTGTTCTTGGAGCATGCAATGATACTTTGATTGAGAGAGAGAAAGACAGAGTTAAAACTTACACTCCAGTAATGTTTGTTGGTAATGTCATAACCTCCTCTGTATTTCTTGAAATTATCCAAAGGGTCTAACCTCACAGTATCATCTGATTTCCTCGATGATACTTGTGAAACATTATTGTCTATTTGAAGCAAGCTTCTGCCTGCACAATCTCCCAGGAAAAAAAAGAAGCAAAAACAAAACTTTGGTTAAGAAGGGTGAACTTACAAATGTAAGCCATGTTTCTAGCAAGAAATTTGGGCTTCTTTAAGTATGTGAGTGTTAGCCATAGAGATGCAAGATGGGTCAAGCAATATAACAGCCTGCTCAACACAGCCTGATTTAGGATCTGTTTAGCACAATCCAAATCATAGATTAATGAACTGCTGGTCCAAGACAAACAAATACTTTCAAGTTTTGTTTGTTTCAGTCTTATCAAGGTTTTGATTTTTTCTAATTTGTAGTCCGGTCCAGTCTATAAAATTATAAAAAAATTATAAAATATGTTAAAAAAATTTAAAAACATATAATAATTAAAGTAGAGTAAGAATATTTAAAAAATAACAAATATATATATCAATGCTCACCGGGTACACTAATATTAGTTGGGACCGTTAAACCAGCACTTTCTTTGAAACTCAAAGCCAAAATCACCATCGTGAAGATTACCGGCGCAACAAGTTGTATGCCATATTTGCTCTCCATCAATTTTTAACCTTTCAAACAAGCAAAATTGAAATCACTCACTTCGTGAATTCAGAAGTCAACTCTCTTTTCACTTGCCCATTAAACTTTTCTTCTTTCAGGAAAAGAACCCAAAATCTTAATTAATTGTTCTAATGGGTCTGATTAATTATCCGAAACACGCTTGATCACAAGAGTTGCAGACATTAACCCACCAAAGAAGTTAAGAACCAACCAGAAAAAACAGCCAAACCAAGTTGATTGATTACTAGATACTTAAAAATTTGGTTCTGGCGTGTGGATATATATATGTTTATGTACAGATATATGCGTCTGTATAATCAGAATGTTATAAAATGAAAATAAAAAAGAAAGAAGTTATTGTTTATGGAGTCCAAGATTCTTGTTTTTACATAAAACTGCAAACTGCAAGAAGGAAATCTCCAGAGTGTATAAACAAACGCACAAACAAACACGTGCGTGTGTCTGTCTACATGAATCCCTGGAAAAAGAAAGAGAAAGATTAATGTGAACAGAGAAAGATTACTTTTTTTTTTATTTTCAAACTTTTTTGTGAAAGCGGCAGCTTGCTTTTGATGGCTAAAGGAATGATTTCTACTCAAGAAAAGAACAGTTTACGTTTTGGCCGATGAAATCTACAGTTCTAATAAAGTGACAGAAACAATACATACACCACTACATAGCATTTTATAGGAAATATCAGGAAACTTTGTGAATTATTCAATGCATATTGTAAATAATATCAAATTTATTTCTCACTGATGAACATATCTACAGAGTGAGAGCTTCAGTTTCATGAACTCACCCCATATATATGTCTATGTGTGAACTTACCCCATATAGATGTCTTTGTATGCATATATTGTAAATGGATGGCTTATGGGAATGATCATTGATCCTAAGAAAGATGAAAAAAGAAAAAAAAAAGAAAAAAAAAAAAGAAAAAGAAAAAAAAAAAGAAAAAGAAAAAGAACTAAAAACTTACAAATACAAACTGCAGAATTGTCTGCAACTTGAGTTGAATATCAGCCGTTTGCTTTCCGGGGAAAAAACCAAAATTTCAACAAAATACCCACATATTAAAAACTCTACTATCTTCATTACCAACTCTCATGACAGCCTTTTGGAACTTCTGCTCTCTTATATGTGTAATATTTATATACATATGCGCACACATGTACATATGGTGCATCGTGCATGTTAAAAGTAGTATTATTATATATATGGGAGCCTTGAAGGGGAAGGATATGATATGTATGTGTGTGTTTATATATATATATATATATATATATATAAGATCACGCAAACAAATAATTTTCTCCTTTGAAGTCTTGATCAAAGGCTTTTCGAAGGAAGAGCTCAAGTCAAGCATTTCAACTCTATAGCCCTCTATTTTCTTGATCTTACATGTACCCTTCAGATATCCAGAGTTTTCAACTCCAACAAAACCCAAGTAAATAAAAACCCCTCCATTTATGGGGAAAAGAACAGATTAGAATGAAAGAAATAATATATGTATTGCCAATTAATTACTATTTAAATCGTTTTCAATGCTTAATTATTTTTTGCTTTTGAGAAAAATGCTTAATTAATTAATTAGTTAATAAATGATTAACAAAACCTCGAAACATTTGCCCAATTATTCAATTTTTAGTCTATATACAGAAGAGAGATTTCAATCGAGTTGTTAACTTAATCCACTTCCTCAAACTAGTGAAAGGTTCCTAATCCTATTAATTAAGCTTTGAAGATATTAGTAATTAGAGTCTTTTACTTGCATTTCTAGTTTTATACATTATTCTTCTTGTTATCAGCTACAGTTTATTTGTTTTTTTTTTCAATTTTATATGAAGTAGTAGCTGTTGGGATGTGCTTTGCGTGCACTATTTTATAAATCAAATTAAATTATATATTAAAATTTAATTATCTACAAATTTTGAACCCATGAAAAAATATGTTTTAAACTTGTGATTTGCAGTAAAAATATTGCTGACCTTCCCAAAAACTGAAGAGTATTCATTCAGGTATTCTAAGATTTTTTGCTGAAATTATTGGAGAAAATTAGATTCCGTACAAAATTAAACAAGAGTTATGTACAAGATTTTAATTAGATCTGATTTTATTGATTATTAGATATTCTATAATTAAATGTTATCATTAAATTTGTAATATTTCAATTTTAAATTGAACAAATAGAAAATTGTTGAGTTTTATATAAGAATATAAGTTGTGCAGCACTAATAATTTGAACACAAATTCTTAATAGTAGTTTGAGTTAGATAAATAGTTTTTAAATTAGGATATAATAATAATAGTAAATAAAAATATTAAATAAATTTAAAATATTAATAAAAAATTGTTAATTTAGAGTTTTTAGAAGATATTTTGACAAAAAGAAGTACCAAAAGATTTAAAATTGATAAACCAATGTAAAAAAATAAATAAATTTAAACAATAATATATTATCTAGAAAATAATAAGAAAAGGTTATAAAAATTGAATTATTATAAAAAAATTTAGAATTTAAATTATAATAAGAGTAAATATTGTAAATTAAAATATTAAAATTGTAATTTTTGTCAAATACAATTATAATTTTTATATGCACATGGTAGAAGCCTAATGGGACTTGTCTAAATTACATCAGAATTTTCAATTCTGGACCAAATTCCAAGTTCTCCTCTGCCTTTCCCCATTCCCATGAAGTCGAAAAGAAATTTTTGTCGTCGACTTCAAGATTTCTTTTTCTTTTTATTCTTCTTTAAAGTCGAGTTCACGAATTGAATTCGAACGTTTTTTCTCATAATAAAAAAAATTAAGTCGTAGGGGCAGGCGTCACATAGTTCAGGAATAATGTGTGAACCCAACAAAACCACAATAAACTCCAACACGGTTTCTTTTTATATTTCCTTTTTTTCACTTTCTTTTTTATTAATTACGTCGAGTAAAATCACAGGTCCAGAAAGTACAACAAAAAGTATAATATCTAAGAGGATGATGGAATGGCTAACGTGGCCTACGCTCTGTCTTTTGCTAAATAAGTTATGTGAATAGAATAAAAATATCATGAAAGATACTAGTGAATTAGATCAAATTTTATTCAGTATATGGAATATTTCTAATCTTTTGAAAATTATGTATATTATATCTATCAAAACATATAAATTGAATATAAAGTTTAGGATAGAAAATATGGAGTAGAAAATGAAAAATATATAAAACAAATGTACCTTATTGAGAAAAATTGTTTGAAGTTGACTATTTGTTGAAGTTGAGGTTAGAGAACAAGTTTAATGAGAAAAATCCTATTTATATAATAGCGAAAGAGAATGTTTAACTTTATATATCAAGTTTTTAATAAAATACACTAACTTTATGTATCAAGTTTTTAATAAAAATACAATTTCTTAATTGAGTAATACTTTACAGATTTTTATATTTGATAATAAAGAATAATTATAAAAAAATAAAGTACCAAATAGGGTTACAGGAATGATCATTTTAAAAGAACAAACAAAAAATTAAAGAAATAAATAAAAAGTAAATAATTGGGTATCTTATTCACAACCCTCTTGTGGATCGAGATCTGAATTTTGGTTCTCTTGATCTAAAATGCTTAATGAAAAGGTGAGATATACTAACTTAATAAGAATATCACACTACTCACAGATAAAAAAATAAAAGTTAGTAAAAATAATAAAAACAATCAATATAACTCTTAAATTAAGTAAATTCATTTATCATAAATAAAATTATTGATTGCATACTTATTGTTGCGAGATTTTTAAAATCGATTTATAGAGTCAATAACACAAATAATATCATAATATCATATTTAAATGGACAAAACAATAATTTTCTATTTTTATTTACTTACTAGTATCCCTGGGGTCAATAGGGATGTCCCACTACACGTAAACCCATATTAAACCTTGTCAACTAACTGGCCATCCCCATATCCTGTATAGTATGAGCGCTAAAAATACTATTCCTCAATACTCAGTCCGGTATGAGAGTGAATCGGGTTATCTCTATACCCCGTTCGGTATGAGCGCCAAAGAAACTGTTCATCAATACCCCGTATGGTATGAGACAACCATTCACTCATTCACTTAATCAATCACTTTTTTATTTATATTTTAATTTTTAGTTTCATAATTTAACCGTAAATTAGGTAAGACAAATAATACATGTAACGACTCCAGAAATATCCAAAGGAAATAAAAGATAATTAAAGTGCGGAAGCATAATAAATGTTCAAGATTTACATTCCTTACAGAAATAACCTAAAGTACCAAACAACGTTACAGAATTCACTCTTTTGAAAGAAACACAAGAATAAAGAAATAAACGAGAAATAAAGAATCTAGCATTTACTCGCAATCCTCCTGAGGATCGGGTTTTGTAACCTGATCCTCTTGATATGAAATGGTTAAATAAGGGATGAGCTACATTAACCCAGTAAGGATATCACACTATATCACTGACACAGAAGTAAAGGTTGGTATAAAATCGAAACACTAATAGAGCACTTAATTTAAACTAATACATTTATTAAAAATAAAACTATTTATCGTTCACTTACCATGGTGAGATTTATGAAAATAATTTATATAGACAATAATATTATACAGATCATGATTTTATGTATAATCAACAATCATAGCACACATTATAAATATACGTCCATCATCAATAAATACACAATAACTATCACTCTTTTTACCAGCCTGCTGGTATTCATGGGGGTTCATAGGGATGTCTCCGCTATACGTGAACTCTTTCATTTAACATTCTCAATAATGAGTCGTCCCCATACCCCGTTCGGTATGAGCGCCAATTTATCAAATCTCAATATTTCGTCCGGTATGAGGGTGAAGCGGGTCGTCCCCATACTTCGTCTGGTATGAGCGCCAAATTATGAAGTCTCCATACCCCGTCGGTATGAGACAACGTTCATGGTAAGGTTACCTATGTACCCGGTTCGTTCATCATCTTTCAGAATATCTAGTAAGACTGTCATTTCATCTATTCATTTCATCACACAATTTTTACCGTTTAACCTTCATTTTTTCTGATTCAGCAGTAAACACAAAATAAACTATACATGAATTCAAAGCCATAAAATCAATTAATAAGATACTATCATACATATAAACTGTAAAAATAATCAACAAACAACAGTAGATAATTTCCGGTTCTGGTTTCATTAGCAATCCGTAATTAATTATGCACATTTCCTAAATTTACACAAAATATAGTACTATTATTTATTTAGACTTAGTTCTATAATAGGAAATAAGTTGAGGGATCCTTACTCGATTTGATGCCCAAAAAACTAAGTTGTTCTACTGTGCCTACGGGCGATTCTCAGGTTCTCTGAATTTTTTTTCAAAAATTAAAACGCGCCAATAGTATCTACAAATGTCTCAAACAAACTCAAAATCAGTCCTGGAGCCCACTTGGCCAATTTCAAAATTTCGGTACGGCAGCTCCGCCGTGCTCCGGCGACAGTGCCGCCGCCCATGGCGGCGGTCCGCTTCGAGTTGGTTGTTTTCGATTGTTTTTGGCCGAATTCGGTCGATTCTGCATTAATTCTTGTAAGAAAACACGTTAAAATGCCACGGTTGGCCCAAGAAATACAAAAAATCGAAGCTCACCGGCGGTGGGATTCTCTAGTGTGGTAGCTCCTTCAGCTCACGTTACAGTTAGGTGTTTTGCTCTGGTCAACCTGTAAAGAAGGATACGGTGATTACAACGGTAGAAAAATTACACAAAACGGAAATCAGGAATGGCCTCATCAGAGGCGTTTTGTGAAATTTCCCACGGCAGTGCCGTCAAGCTTCGTCGGTATTTTTCAGCTAATTGACTGATCTTTTTGCTCTGATTTGGCCATGGGTGTGTTTAAAATTGAATTTCGAGCAAAAGAATTTTTTTTTACCTTTTTTAGCGGTTGAAAAAAGTTCCGATGCGACGGCGAGTGGCGGCAGTGTTCTTCTGGCCGTCGGGTCTTCTTCTCCGGCAAGTGAATCTGGTGGATAGGGTTAGAGTTTGGTGTGGATGGGGGTTATTTATATCTGTTTGTTTTTTATTTGAGCTGTCTATCGCTATTAAATAGGAGGTGAATCTGGACCGATCATCGCGATCCAATCTAGACCGTCCATCGCGATCTACT